TACTTTAGCTGGTATACTTTTTTTTTTTTTTAATTTCTGCATATCATGGGGTACAGATGTTCAGGTCACGTATGTTGCTCTTGTCCCCGCTCCTCCCCTACTTTTTTTTTTTTGGAGACAGGGTCTCACTCTGTTGCCCAAGCTGGAGTGCAGTGGCATCATCGTAGCTCACAGCAACCTCAAACTCCTGGCCTCGAACAATCCTCCCACCCTGGCCTCTCAAAGTGTTAGGATTACAGGCGTGAGCCACCGTGCCCGGCCCTAAACTGTCCATTTAAAAATGGCTTAGATGGTAAATTTTATGTTACAGTAGCCCCCCTTACCTGTAGTTTCTCAGTGATGCTGGCGTATCATTATACTTGTGCTATTTTATTATTAGTTATTGTTAATTTCTTACTGTACCTAATTTAGAAATGAAACTTTATCATAATCAGAAAAAACACAGCTTAGTAGTCTGAGTCATGTGATATGCCCCAGAGAAGAGAGTATGAGACTTGGGTCATGCCCAGGCCCACTCCCACATAGGCAACTGTTTAAAGGCCTTTTGTTCCCACTAGCTGTGCTACCTCATCCTTTATCTTCAAGTTCCCAAAATTTGTGATACAAAGAACAATGTATAGCCAATCAATATCTTATGTTATTTTATTATTTTTTTATTTTTATTTTTATTTTTTTTGAGACAGAGTCTCACTCTGTTGCCCGGAGTAGAGTGCCGTGGCGTCAGCCTAGCTCACAGCAACCTCAAACTCCTGGGCTCAGCAATCCTACTGCCTCAGCCTCCCGAGTAGCTGGGACTACAGACATACGCCACCGTGCCCGGCTAATTTTTTCTATATAGATTTTTAGTTGTCCAAATGATTTCTTTCTATTCTTAGTAGAGATGGGGTCTCGCTCTTGCTCAGGCTGGTCTCGAACTCCTGACCTTGAGCAATCCACCCCCCTCGGCCTCCCAGAGTGCTAGGATTACAGGCGTGAGCCACCTTGCCCGGCCTAGCTTATGCTATTTTAATGTAAATTATTGGCAAACAACTTAGGAACTGCCTCTCCTTTTCCTTTAGAAACATATCTGTAACTGCAGCTAACGGGAGTGGAAGCTGCCATATAACCTAACTTGCTCCCAGGTTGTAGTCCTCAAACTTGACCCAGATGAACCCTCTACTTATACTGAGTTTGCCTCAGTGTTTTCCTTTAGGTTGACAATAGATATGACACCAAGAGCCCTAAAACCTTGTCAGGGATTCTGGGCCTTTGTCATTCCCCTCCTCTGTCATTTCCCTCCCTGTTTGGATAGCCAGCAAAAACGTAACCAATGGAGTGGAGGCAGTTTCAAAGAAAGGATGAAAAAATTCCCCCAGGGCTTGCTTGGAGGTAGAAAAGAAGAGTGATTTGAAATTCCTGCACTTAGTCATTATCGTAAGAGTCACTAAGACATCAACTATATTATTAACTCTTTAACATCTGTAATTTCTACTTTCACCACCCTTACCCCAAGAATGTAAACTCCAGGGAGACAGGACCCTATCTGTTGGTTCACAGATTAAGGCCAGCCTGATACCTGACACAGTATTCCCTTGGTTAAATATGTGAAGGTGGGAATAGATTAGAAGAGGCCAGAAATTAAACTGTAAAAAAGCCCACCAGGGGTTTATGGTTGATTACCCCAATCTCTCCCACCCCACTCCCTAAATCCTCACCTGTCCATTCCCTGGTTTGGACATGGTTTTGCGGGCTCGGTGGACCTTGGGCTGCCCCTCTGGGCTGCTGGTGGCTGGAGGGGGTTCAGGCCCTGCTGATGCAGTTCCCTGGGCCCCAGGCATACTCAGCAGCCTCATAGCCAAACTCTGGACTGATGGAGGTGATTTTCCAGCCCCCGTCATTGACATCTTGGCCCGGCTAGGACAGGCACCCCCCTTGCTGGGGGAAGAAGGGAATGACTTTGTGGCATGGCCTACAAAACAGACAGGCAGGCAGGCAGAAGGCAAGATAAGAAGGAAGGTGAAGTCGGAAGTCTCCCCCACCACACCCCTAGACTCCCCAGCCTCTCACCCAGCAGGATCCGGCCTCCATGGAGGTCCCCATCTCCCTCGAGAGTCCCGGGTTCATCTCCAATGAGCGGTATAGCCCCTACAGGGGTGTCAGCCCCCTCATCGCCAACGGTGACAGTGACAGAGGCTGGAGATGAGGGTCCAGTAGGCTCCAGGGAGTCAGGGTTGGCCTTGGGCAGGGTCTCCTCACTATGAGGGTTGTCCCCCAAAGAGCCATGAACTGTAGAGGAAGAGAAAAAGTTCAGGGTCTACAGGCTCAGGGGATCCTGTATTAGGGGAGGTGAAGGTCCAACTGGGCCTGTTTCTGCTGCACTCACCTCTCTCAGGGGCTCCTCTGGTCTCCTTCTCCAGCAGCAGCGCCCCCATCTCAGCGGGGGCCTCCCCCTGGGAGGGGCGACAAGGAACAGGAGGGCTGGTCAGCCCAGTAGGCAGTTGGGGGGCCCAGGATGCCTGGGCCCTGGGAAGAGAGAGTAGGCTCCGGGGCCTACCTCTTCCTCTGTGGGGGCCCCCCCTTCCGCGGCCTCGGCTGCCTGGAGGGGCCGCACGACCCCTCCCCCGGGCTCGCATCAGCCCCCGCCCTCTCGGTAGACCCCGCATCTCTGGGGCCGAGAGGAAAGGAGGGGGAGGGGGCGGGGCCTCTGCGCCCCGGCCCCGCCCCCTCCTCCCGGCTGCACGCGCCGCTCCCCCTTTGTCCCCCAGGCCGCGGGGACCCCGGGCACCAACCCCTCCAGCACCCGCTGCCCCCCAGCCCGGTGGACGGCCCCTCGTGCCCCTTGCGCGTGATCCTGGGGCCCCGGCGCCCACCGCCCACTCAGGGGCAGCCGGCGGCTGCACGCGCGCCTCCGTGCCCACTCCCCCCACCTCCCACCCCCTGGTCCCCTCATCCGCCCCCGGTGCTGGCCCCCCGGATTGCTGCAAGTCCCGCCCGGGCCCCCCGGCCCCGTTGCACCCCCGGAGCATTGCACGGGTGCGCGCTTCCCCCGGGCACGCGCGCGGGCATGCACCCGCCTCTCCCCCTCCCCTTCCGCACCTCGGCGGCCGCCGCCGCTGCAGCTCCCGCCGCCGCCGCCATCGCCGCTTGCGCGGGGGGCCGAGCCGGCGCGCGGCCGCCCCGGGTCACGTGAGCGAGGGTGGGCGGGCGAGGAGGAGCCTTAAAGGAGCCGCTACACGCTTTCTGGCCATTTTCCCCCGAGAGCGTCCTCCGAGGTGACTGTGGCTGTCCTAAGCTGGGGACTACAGGGGAGAATTCCTGTCCTTCCTGGCCTCTTCTCTGCAGGGAACGGAGGGCGAGGCACGCCTGGGGCCAGGTGTGGCTTCTCCATCCCCACCCGGTTTTAGGTAACAAGCAGAGCATCTAAACCTCTGGCTCTCGGTCTCGGCAGTGGCTGTACTTCCTCCGGCCCGCTTGTGCTTATCCCGCCTCTGGTTGCTTTTCTGCCTTTCTAGTTTCTGGGTCACCAGATAGAGGCCTCAGTTTTGGCCTCGCCTCTCTAACGAGCAAAAAGGGGGCGATAGGGACGCGCACGGGACACCTTTTTTCCTGGCTGGTTCTAGCATGCTGCTTCATGTCCCCTGGAGCAGCGTCCCCTATTGAAAACCTGGGGCTAAATGTCTCTTCTATTTATGCCCGGGGTGTTACGCCGCTACGCCTTAGGGATCCAGGTAAGCCCAGGGGCCCGAGCGTCATTACTGTCTGGTGACACTGCAGTAAGTAGTGTTTTTGCCAAACACTTTACAAGCACAGGCACTCGTGGGTCATGGCCTAGCTGACAGTTTTAAGTATGAATGATACACACCAAGATATACAACCTTGATACCGTATTTAGGATACCGTCCCCTTAGGTATCACACGGTCAGAATTTGGCGAATATCTGTTATGATTTCACAAACCGCATTTGACACTGTCAGGTAGGGCACCTGAGGCCAATTCAAGGCCTTCTGGGAACTGTAGTTCTCTTTGGGTAACTATTCCAGAGCTTTCTGGGAATTGTAGTCTTTCCCACACCCTCACCCAAATGTAGCGGTTTTCAGCTTTCCCAAGACATGAACCATTTCTCCCAGACAAAAAATGCTCAAACACAGATTCCAGCTTACAATTTCCGTGGGCACATTGGCCACTTGTAGCTCATCCCTAGCACTGATACCAAACCTCTCAGATAGAGGAGCAGTTCGTATGTATTGGCATGAGTTGTGCTATGAGGTATCTTGCTAGTTGTTGAGGTTGCAGAACTGGGGGAGGGGGATGTCCCTAGTCAGAGGAGCTCACTTGTCACATTCTCTTTCAGTGTTCAGAGCTGGGCTTCTTCAGGCATGGGACCTGCATGAGTTGTGACCTCTAGGTATTGAGCACACAGCACGAGAGGGAGAGGCTGTCTAGTATAGAGGGACAGTCATATACACGCAGTTGCCAGAGTATAAAGAAAAAAAAGTTTTTTTTTTTATTTTGTGGAAAACAAAAGCAGAAAAACTAAAACCCCAAACTCCAGAAAAAATCCTAAAAAATACGTTTTGTTTTCTTAAAAAATACTGTATAAGTCTCTACTCCTCTCCCCTGCCAACAGCCTTTCTTGTGTTCTTTCTTCTAAGTGCCCTCCCCCCACCCCACATCTATTCATTGTTCTTGCTATTGTACCCCCACTTCCCAATATCTACCCAGGATGCTCACCTCCACATTCTCTTACCTGGCACCTTTGTTCTCCCTCAAGTTTCGGTGAGCCTTGTATCCACAGTCCCATTTCCCCAGCATGCAAGAACTGTCTCCCCCTTCCTTTTGTGGGACTCAGTAATCTTTCCCCCCTACCGAGCATCTATTCTAAGCAGGAGCACCTAAGCTGCCTCCTGCCACATACCCTCCCTATTCCCACCCACCCACCCACCATTCTTACCTCGAGAAATGTCAGAACCTCCCCATGGGCAGCCTTAGACAGGAATAAAACATTTCCCAGTCTTTGTTTTCCCTTTTCTATAGGACCCTTTCCCCTCCCTCCACATATACATGCACCTCTAAGAGAAGAAAATCTTTCTTTGGGACCCCGCATTCCCGTGGCCTTCTCAAGAAACGCTGTCCCTGGCTCCATCCTTTTCTTCCACTCTGAAGAGGCAGAGTGTTCTCTCCAAGGAAATCTTCCTCCCTCCCTCAGGATGTGTGTGTCTGCTGAGGCTCCCCACTCTACCTTTCTGCCCTATCCCCCCTCATCCCCCCCATTCTCCTGGGCCAAAGAGCCCTCTTCCCACCCCGCCCAGGGACCCCAGCCTCCTGGCCTCCACGCCTGCCCGGCTAGCGGATGAGGACGTTGATCTCGGCCACACTGGCCTCCAGCACGTTCTCGGCTGTGGTCTTTCCGTGTTGCTCCTTGAGGTGCCGCCTAATGGCAGGCTTGTGGGCGAAGCGCACGTCGCAGTAGGAGCAGCGATAGGGCCGCGCTCCCGAGTGCAGGTTGAGGTGGTCGTGCAGTGTGGACTTCTGCGTGAAGCACTTGCCGCAGATGCCGCAGGAGTGTGACTTGACGCCGCGGTGCACGTTCATGTGGCGGTTGAGGTTGCTGCTGTGGTTGAACTGCTTGCCGCAGCGAGGGCACATGAAGATGAAGTGCTGTGCCCGCATGTGGAAGACCAGCTTCTCCACGCCCTGGAACACTTCCGGGCACTTGGTGCACTTGATGTTCTTCAAGGGGTTTCCACCCGAAAAGCCCCCAGGCAGGGGTCCTCGGCTACCCCCCGCCCCCAGGCTGCCCCCCGCCCCCCGGGCAGCCATGGCCACCGCTGCCGCTTCCACCAGGCCCGAGGTGGCCCCCACACTAGCCCGGCCTCCGGGAATCAACAGCAGGCCCTCCCCTTCTGCGTCCTCCGACAAGCTGTAGCAGGCCTTCACCACACCCTGCGGTGGGGCTACAGTGCTGGGGGGCACACTGCTCTGGGCTAGCTCCCCAAGATGGCTGCCGGCGGAGCCTCCAATTCCCAGACCCCCTCCCAAGCCTCCAGGGGGTTTGAGCCGGTGAGCCACCTCCAGCGCTGACTCCACCTTGACGATGCAGATGTCAGACACATCCTCGTCCTCATCTTCGTCCTCCTCCTCTGCCTTCAGCTCCAGGTCCTCATCCAGTGGGAACTCCAGCTTCACTGGCCGCAGGAGTGGAGGGGGTAGAGGAGGTGGGGGTGGGGGTTTGGGGGCTGGCTTTGGGGTCCTGGCTGGAGGGAGGAGGGACTTGGTGGCACTGACACTGCTCACAAGGCTAGCCTCGCTGACCCCATCCTCTTTGAGGCCTATTTTGGGCTCAATGAACTGGCTGAGGGCATTCCGGCATTTCTCCACCACGTGCTCCATCTGCAGGTAGGAGGCGGCCGTCAGATAGTTGACGATGTCCCTGACAGCGAATTCCAGAGCCCCCGTGTAGCAGGAGAGGAGCAGGTCAGCCACAATGCGTGCACTGTGCATCAGGGAGACCTGCAGCTCAGAGCTGGGGTTCAGCAGGAACTGGTCCCGCAGGAACGGCGAGCAGGCGGCCAGGATGACCTTGTGGCCTCGGAACTTGAGGCTGTCGGCCACAATGGTAACGTCGCAGAACCGCTCCTCTGCCCGGAGCTGGTTCATGTTCCGCAGCGTAGCGGCCTCATGGCCCGGCAGCTGGAAACGTAGGACTTCCACCCCAGAGGCCATTGTGGCGGGGGTGGGCAACCCTGGTTGGGAAGGAAACTGGTCAGAGACAAAGGTCTCTGGCTTCAAGAAGCCAAGGCTCCAGGACCCTTGTCCCCATTCTTGCCCAGCACCCCCATCCGATCTCCCAGTCTTCAGGCCCCTTCCTCAGTTTCCCCAACCCCGGGGAGGCGCTGTCCCTCGGAGAGGAGGGAGGCGTGGTTCCCGGGGGCGGGGCAGCGGCGTCCACACCCCCCAGGCCGGCAGCCCGCTAGGATGGGGCGAGTCCGCGCGCCCACGGTGAAAGGACGGAGAAAGGGGGTGGGAGAAGCAAAGGCCTGGGTCTCTGGATTCCAGGGTGGCTCCGCTTGCAGGCTCTTCTCACCCCGCCCCCTTTACCCACTGCCTCATTCCTCCGCCCCCCCTTTACACGTTTGCACGCGCCTTTCACGTCCTCCCCCCGCCGCCAGCACGCATCGTGCACGTCCCCCCCACGCTCAGAGCTCCGTGGCACGCCCCCCCTCGGCCCCACGACCCTGAGTGCACGCGCCTCTCACCTGGCCCGGTTCCGCGCGCTGTTTTTTTTCCCCCCTATTTTCCCCACCCCCCCGGGGCCGGCGGCGCCCCCCACACACGGGCAGGGCCTGGGCAGCGCGCAGGCGCGGGGGAGCACAGGGCGCGCGCGCGGGGCCGGCTCCGCGTGGGCGTAAGGGGGGAGGGGCGGGGGCGGCTCGTGCCGTGTGTTCCAGGCCCCGCGCGCGCGGCGGCGTCGGCGAGGACTCGGGGAGGAGGAAGAGGGGAGGAAATTAAAGGAGCAGGATCCCCCTTTCCCAACCCCCCTTTCTCCACCAGCACCCCCACGCGGTTAAAGGGCCGGATGGCCTTGCCTCCCCTTTGGCCGGGATTATTTGTCCGCCAGAGCGGAAATACGTTCCACATCCCCCTCTTTCTCGCTCCCCCTCCACTGTGCCTCCGGGCCCCGCGGCCAGTCTGCGCCTGCGTGCCAAGTGCCGCGCCGAGGCCCGCTCGCTCGGGCCCGCCCCCACTCCCGGCGGCCTGCGGCGCCGCCCGCCCCGCGCTCCCGTGCGCCCCGCCCGCTCTGCATCCCGCAGCGCGCGCTTCCCGCCGGTCGCGCTGCCACCTGCTCCCTGGGATGGTGCGGAGCGGGGCGCCGGGTGCAGCCGCGGCCCCTCCCGGGGTCCCAGACCGCCCTGCGGCTATCAGGGCTGTTAGTCGCTGCTGCCCACGCACCCCCTGCTGGGTACGTCCTGGGTTCCTCCAGCCACACTTCCAGGCTTTTCCAACTCTTCTGAAGCTGGTAACTACCCCAGCGCTTCTAGCCTAAAATATGATTTCACCTCCTCCAAAGCCAGACGATCCAGTGCCCTCAGCTTTTCTCCACTCCAGGTCACAACTCTTTAAAATCACACCCGTCTTCCCCTTAGAATCAATCCTGATGTCTTGCCAAGGCAAACGGTCTCTGCGTGCTCTGTCGATGACCTTGCCCATTTCACCTCTACTATATATTTAATCCTAGGACTAATTCTTCTAATTACGCGATTATTTACGTTAGTACTATTCTACTCTAATCTTTCCACTGAACCCGGTCCTTCCCCCCATCCCTCACCTCTCCTCCAGACTGACAAGATCAGGGCTCCACGCCCTGAACAGAACCTCTCCTCAACTCTCCCTCTTTCTCTGTCGCTCCCAAACCAAGCTGCAGTCTCTACGGCTTCACCGGCTTCACCGTCAGCACTTACGAGCGCCTTGCAGGCTGGTCCCTTCCTTGCCTCTTCCTCGCACCCCTAATACCTACGCTCACTTCCCCACCCATCCAAGTTTGGATGAAGATGCCACATTTTCTCCTAATTGGATTTGTTTGTTACGTCCACTAGGAGACTAGTGCATTGTTCATACATCTCAATTCTGATGAAGCTACTTGCTATGTTATGTGTTCAATATCTGATTTCCCCCATGAGATTGTAAACTTGTTCGTGCCAGAATTATGTCGTGGGTTATGTTTTGCAAATAAAAGTCATGCAGTAAATGACTGATTGTTGAAGTCATTCCTCTTGGGCTCAGTCAGCATCCACCCATAAAGGTTTGTTCCTGAGTTAAAATTGAATACCTGAACTCAAGGGGTACTGTTTGTGGGTAGTGTGGGGGGAGTTGTTTAAGTGGGGCCTTGACGCTTTGCCTTTCCCTTTTAAATTGTCTGACTTTTATGCCCTCACCTAATTCCTTCTATTCTGAAATGCCCTCTTTGTAGAAATCACCTTTGTAGAATCACCTACAGTCAGGCCATGTAGATTCAAAGAAGCTCATAGGCTTTTGTGTCACACACACACCTAGGCTCAAAGCCGTATTTCTGTACTAAATAAGGGCCCTTCTCTGAATCACAGCATCTTTATCTTTGAATTGAAGGGCCTGATTCCTCACGGGGCTAGTGTATGGTTTAAGTGAGCCTGGTATACAGTAGGTGCTGAATAAACAATAGCTCCTTTCTCCTTTGCCTAATTGGGAGACAGACCATGAAATTTTCAAAATAATTGTTTTTTTCAGACAGTCTCTGTTGCCCAGGTAGAATGCAGTGGTATCATTGTAGCTCACAGCAACCTCAAACTCCTGGACTCAAGTGATCCTCCTGCCTCAGCCTCCCAGGTAGCTGAGACTACAGGTATGTGCCACCACGCCTAGCTAACTTTTCTATTTTTTGTGGAGATGGGGTCTTGCTCTTGCTCAGGCTGGTCTTGAACTCTTGAGCTCAAGTAATCCTCCTGCCACCGCCTCCCAGAGTGCTAGGATTACAGGCCCAAGCCACCACACCCAGCTGGAATGTGAACTACTCTTTTGGGAAGTTTAGCAATGAAGACAAGAAGAGATGAGATAGGAAAAATAGTTCTTGACCAGGTTCAGTCCTAACAATGGAAAAATTAGCTGGATGTCGTGGCTTGCACCACTAGTCCCAGCTACTCGGGAGGCTGAGGCAGGAGGATCGCTTGAGCCCAGGAATTTGAGGTTGCTATGAGCTATGATGACACCACTGCACTCTAGCTGGGATGACAGAGTGACTCTGTTTCAGAAAAAAAAAAAGAGTAGTTCAGTGAGAGGAGAAATACAGAAAGCTGTCAAGTTAAGAATTAGAGTTTGCAATCAAAGTCACAGCAACAACAAAAAAAAAAGAATTAGAGTTTGCAAAATTTTGTTTCCTATCCCCTTCTTGCTACTTCTCCTTTCTGGAAATGTGGATGGGACAGGAGGCCTAATCTCAGCATATAGTTTAAGACAGGTGGTCCTTGGTGGCATGTGGCGTTGAGAGTCGATGAATCTTTCAAGTGCCCAGCCTACCCAGTTATAGCTTTACATAGAAACAGGCAGAAGTGCATGAGTTGTCTTTGCTTGTATGGTCTGGTGGGGAGATGATGTAGGGCAGTTTTCTCACATACCCCATGTAGAGGGTTTAGAACCTTCTAGATCCTTGTCCCTTGTTTCCCAACTTCTGCCAGTATAAGACAAGGGACCGTTCTGTCTTTAGCTTGCAGTACCAAACGCCTTGGCATAGTGTCAAGAAAGATAAATTCGGGATTCTTAATGGGCTTTAGAAATAAAATCTGATTAGGGATGCAAGGAACAACCAGGAGACAGAAGGTCTAGGTTCTGGTCTAGTTTGAAGTCATCAAGGCCTCAGAGGTTTCAGTATTTTCTTCAATAAAATGGAGGGGTTGCTCTTGAAAGTCTTTTCCAGCTCTGTGAGTCCACAGCAGCTTAATCTGTAAAGGTGTGTGTGTGTGTGTGTGTGTGTGTGTGTGTGTGTGTGTGTGTGTGTACGCGCGCGCGTGTGAGAGAAGTGGTCAAGGGCTAGCTAGCTCATGGCGTACAGCAAGTAGGGGCCTTGAAAATCCAAAACAGTAGGAAAGGTCAGACATTGCTCTGAGGCTTTCAAAGTACTTTAGGCTGTGGGTTTACTTTTACAATTGTGCTTAGCGCAAACTGGAATTACTATATTCCCTGAGCAATCAGTGGGAAAGGAGGATGGAAGTCAGCCTGGACTTTGTAATCCACTGGCTAATAAAACTGTCCTGTATTACAGCAAAACCTCCAACTTTCATCTCTCTCCTTCGATCCGCACTCAGCCCTGCCCTTGGTGCAGGAATCCTAGTGAAAACTGCAGGGGTTTTTGCAACGTTGGCAGGGGCCCACGGCTGGAGAAAAGAAATCGTGTGAAAACAAAGGGCCTGCACCACTCCTACCCGTTTGCAAAACCACCTTTTCTGAACTCCTGTCCATCTCCTGCAGTGTTCCCCATATCGGGCTGCACCTCAGTGCTGGCTCCTCCTCCCTCAGAACTCATTCAGCTCAGCTCTTTGGAACCTTCTGACAAACTCGTCCCACTCCTTCCTACCTAGGAGGGAATTTAGTTTTCCCTGCAACCCACCGCCTTCCCTGATGCTGTGTCCTCCACACACACTCCCTGACTCTGCCCAGCACCAGGTCTGGCAGAGTCTCCCAGTACCTTGACTCCTAGGCAGGACAAGACTCTTCTACTTCTTGCCAAACACTCTGTCCTCTGAGCCCCACCCAGTCCGCTCTGCTACCTGTCTTCCTTGTTGCCTAAGCAACTGACTTCCAGGCCTGGGATACTTGGCTCAGGTCTTCTTCCCCAGGCCTACCCATGTCCTTGCAAATGGCCTAATCCACACCCCAAATAAAAAGAAAAAAATCCAGTTTATTTTGTTTTTTCATAGAGTCAATTTTAAAAATATATAAAATTTCAAAAATATAAAAGGGATCTCGGCACAGTGGCTCACGCCTATAATCCCAGTGACTCAGGAGGCCGAGGTAGGAGGATCACTTGTGCTCCCATCACTAAAAAAATTTTTTTTAAAAAATTAGTCAGGCATGGTGGCAGACACTTGAGGCAGGAGGATGGCTTGAAGCCGGGAGTTCAAGGCTGTAGTGCATTATGATTGTACCACTGCACTCCAGCCTGGGCAACACAGCAAGACCCTATCTCTAAAAAAAAAAAGGATGAAGGGGTACATAGTGAAGGCCTCCTCTCACGCATACCTCATTCTCTTCCTTCAGCAACCAACATTTCTTTTCTTCAAAGCTTCTTGACCTCCTTCCAACAAATTTTATCTTGATTCCATTTCAGCCACATTCTTCCCAGGATCCCATTCTGATAGTTATCAGCATCTGGAACTTTATCCTCTCTGAAATTGAAAATGCCAGTGCTGCACTCTCTGAGTAGCTCACGGATCTCTCCCTCTTGGAGGTCAGCAAGTATACCTGCTGCACCTCCACGGAGGCCTTCAGGCCTTGGCCTCCCCTTTCTGTCAGACCCTCCTCCTTCCTCCCTCCCTGTGCAGCCTTCGCTGCTCTGGCTGGCGCCCTTCAGCTGGGCCCTCGGCCTCCTAGCGCACCGGATGAGCCCCTCTCCCCACCACAGCTCTTTTCGAACCTCATCCCCTCTTCCGATGAGTCCCCCTGCCCTACTCCCGATGCCCCTGTCTCAGCCGATGGCCGTGTCTCCTCTCTGAGGCTGGAGTGCCGTCCTTCACACCCCCAGACGCCTTTCTTTACCCATCCTGATGTCCCTTTCCTTAGTTTCAGAGCCCATTGGAAGTCCACTCTTCCTTCCTGCATCCCACTCCTAACCTTGCTCCATTTCTTTCTCTCCTGTGCTTTACCCTTATCTCCTTCACCA